GCAGATTCACAGGCACAATTCACTACATTGGCAAAGCCAATTCTTACGGTCAAACTATCCAGCCAAGTCAGACTTATGTTTTGTCACATGATTTCTTCTTTTTTCAGTTCACATAAACATATTAGCACACATCTCATGACAGCAGTTTCACTTCTGAATTTAAGTTCTTAGATCCATGGATAGATAGATGAAGTGCGCAGCCTGCTTGAAGGAAGGGATTGTCTGCTTTACTGTCTCACCCCACTCTCACAGGACTCTTAGAAGTGAGACATTCTACAGTTGTTCCATGTAAGATTCTGGAAGGTAAGAGGTAGGCACTTTCTTTCGGAAGAGGATGTCAGGTGATTATGAACATGCAAGTGACTTAAAAGAACCAATAGACTAAAGGCTTGCTCTTGGGAAAGCCAGTTTTAGGAAAGAGTATACTGTATATAGAAGTTAAGGATCTGTACATATATTTCTTTAAAATTATCCATGCTCAGATACTTCCTCAAAATTCATTATATACCACAAAATATATGTACTTCAGATTTAAGACCACTTCTTTTATGTTTAACAGTACCCTCAAACTAGATCAGTCAGTGACTAAACAGACCAGTTAACTAAGCTTTACTAAGTATTTGCCCCCATTAGCATTTGGCAAGGGATGAATTTTCTGGAGCCCTGCTGTGGAACTCAGTCTGATACCTGTATTTCATTAACTCTGGAGTTGGCATTTTAAAAAAAATACAAAAACCCTTCCAGAAAGTGAAGCAGGATATTGTTTCTCCCCAGATATTTGAAGGAAATTTGGGAATAGGAACATACTTGTTCTGGAATGTGATGTTTCAGACGCCAGGACAAGGAGCACTGAGGGAAAGTTAGGAGGAGACAGATTTTTATTCAAGAGAAGAAGGAAGGGGATCAACATTTTAGAAAGTATTTGTATTTTACAAAGTGCATACAGCTTTAATAACACTGGAATATAGTTTTACCATGAGGAAACTGAGATTCAGAGGTTACTAAGTCACCTAAGGATTTGAACCTAGTTCATTCTGGTGACTCCAAAACTATATAATGCTCTCCCATGTGTGCTTACGTAGAATAGCCTGTCTACCTAACACCCTCATTAAAAACAAATATATAAACAGACACTAAAACAAAATAACCTCTGAATCCCACCCTAGTTGTAAATCTAATTGTGTCTGATAGAAGAAGAGGCCAAAGGCTGTGCTACTTTATTTGCTGAAAGTGAAGGCTATTATGGACTGTTTCAGATAAAATCTTAGGAATGTAGGTTGTATGTTGGCTGAAGGAGAGGGAGTGATGCCTCACACTGCTGGTATTGCTGGGAAAACCTCCAGGAATGATCACACACAGGGTGAGGAAAGCTGTCTTATAGATTCAGTTAGGATCCTTTTCCTTCACCACTGTGAAAAATGGGTTGTCAGTTATGAAAATAAGATTCTTACTGCTATTGTGAAGAAAATGTTTTCTTTTCCTCCCTTGGTCGGTGTTTTGTCTCACCACTAGGCTTTAAAGTCCATGAGGGCAGGCCAGGGATTTAGGTCAGTGGCGCCTCACCTGCCTCACAAGCACCAAGTACTGAGTTTGATCCCTGGTACTGGAAAAAGACCCCATTTAAAGTCCATGAGGGCAAATAGCAAATAAATACATGAAAAAATGTTCAACATCACTGGTCATTCAAGAGATGTAAATGAAAACAACGCTGAGATTCCACTTCACTCCAGAAAGAATGGCTGCTATCATGAAATCAACC